CAGTGCGAGCTGGAACTGAACCAGGTTGCCTGCCTGGATCCTTATTACACTTTAAATGCAGAGCCACAGCAGGGGTAGGTCCAGACCCAGCATGAGCCAGGTCTGAGCCAGGCTGCTGGAAGATAGCATTAACCAATAAGCTTTTGTGTATCAGTTAATCAACTACACTACTACCTCCCTAGTTACTGCCTGGCCACTCTGAAGCTTTTCAGTGCTCCGTGCTTCCTGTTTGGCTAGGGAATGTGGTTGTATTACGACAGTCACAGGGCCCTGCGTAGATGCAGCGTGAGATTCTGTCCCCACCCTGGTGAACTCGCAGGCTGCATAGCCACCGCAAAGCTGGGAGGGAAGCAGAGGCATATGGGGAATGGCATGTCTGAGTGTGGTGGCAGAGCGAGCAGTAGAATCCAGGTGCCCTCCCACTGGACTGGACTGCCGTGTCCTAAAATAGCCGATGCAGGAACATGGCTTTTGTCTCTACAGCACTGCTGAAAGGCAGCCACCTCTGGGGTGAAGCATGGTGCCAGACTCCACAGTGTCTTATGCAGCCATGTGGGGGAGGGGAGTTGAGCGTGGTGGGTTTCAGCCCTGTTGCATACAAGCTGCTTATACTGAGATGGACCTAGACCCAGACATTGTGGCAGCATAATCTCTAGCTTGATTGCCGAGGAGTGGGCTGGGCTGGAATCTGTCCCTGGCAGCCTGCCTCCTGGCTAATCTGGAGGGTCTTCCTCTGTGTTGGGACATGAGGCAGCAGAGAGCCAGACCGAGAGTCATCTTACCACCCCCTTCACTCCGAGATCAGGCTGGGCGTCAGCTCCTGAATGCTGCCCACATGTTCTCTTCCAGACCACGCCAGCCCTGTCCTCACCTTGCCTGCTAACGAGAGAGGCGCCCCAGGCCAAGATGCCCTTTGGATCGTTCTCCTGGGATAGCCAGTCTGTCGCTCACTGAAATCCCAAGCAGTTGGCCCTCGTTTCCCTTAACCACGCTGCACTTTGGAGCTCTCTAATACAACCAAAGCCAGTTTGTTCCAGAAAATAGAGATTGCACTAGAAACAAGAGCGCGCGGTGGAGCGGTTACGATACAAAACAGAACGCAACGCTGGGTCAGCACTGCCCTGTTGGTCTCTTTCCTAGCTAGTGACCCCTGGGTCCCCCAACGTTTAACCTGATGCGGAGCGGGCTGGCTGCACTAGAACCAGGAGCTAAATGTTCATGAAAACACCCCTGCTCCCTAAGGAATTTCCTCCGTGACTGGATCCCACAAACCCGGCCGCCCTCTGTGTGTAACACTGAAACCATGTTTTGTGCCTTCACGGCCAAGGCAGCCCGGGTCCTGCTGCAATTCTCATTTTTCACCTTTAAGCGCTTTGGATTGTGTGTGTGGTGCAAGTCTTAACAATGGAGGCTTGCATTGCATCACTGGCTAAATAGAGGAAGAGGGACAACTCCCTCCTGCCTGCGTGGACCATCACAGGGTTCTATACCCCAGTGACTGCTTTGTGGACTTGGAGTAAAAGCATACTGTCACTAGAACTGCAGCAGTCCTTACTAGTTCCTGTGCCGTTGTTTGAATCTAGGTTGTATCAACAGGTGTGTTGTAAGCAAAACTCGTGAAGTCATTCTGCCGCTCTATTCTGCACTAGTTAGGCCTCAGCTGGAGTACTGTGTCCAGTTCTGGGCGCCACATTTCAAGAAAGATGTGGAGAAATTGGAAAGGGTACAGAGAAGAGCGACAAGAATGATTAAAGGTTTAGAGAACATGACCTATGAAGCCAGGCTTCATGAACTGGGCTTGTTTAGTTTGGAAAAAAGAAGATTAAGGGGGGACATGATAGTGGTTTTCAAATATCTAAAAGGGTGTCACAAGGAGGAAGGAGAAAATTTGTTCCTCTTGGTTTCTGAGGACAGGACATGGAGTAATGGGCTTAAAGTGCAGCAGGGGAGGTTTAGATTGGACATTAGGAAAACATTCCTAACTGTCAGGGTGGTCAAATATTGGAATAAATTGCCAAGGGAGGTGGTGGAATCTCCCTCTCTGGAGATATTTAAGAACAGGTTAGATAGACATCTGTCAGGGATGGTGTAGACGGAGCTTGATCCTGCCTTGAGGGCGGGGGGCTGGACTCGATGACCTCTCGAGGTCCCTTCCAGTCCTATTATTCTATGATTCTATGATTCTATGAAGGTACAAGCTTTCTTCAGACACCTTACAGCTACCTCCTGATGGAGAAACTTAAACGTGTGGTCCTGTAGCACCTCAGAGACTAACAAAAATATGTAGATAGGGTTTAGCCTTTGTCTCCAAGGAGCTACAGGGACCACTCCTCGTTTTTTAAGTTGTTGCAGACTAAGACGGCTACCCCGCGGAGACTCTCAATGGGTAGACATCCTGTGAGATGTGCTTGGTGTAGTGAGTTTGTCAGGTCGGGGGAGAGTTGTTGAGGAACCTGTGTGTCACAGCCAGGGGCTGCAGTCCTACTGCAGAAAGCCACAGTTCAGCCTCCCCTATTCTGAACCCTGGGCAAAATGTATCTGAGCCCCCCACACCTGGAAAGGAGGTGTGGTATTGTGCATGGGGGGGATTAGTAGCTGGAATTGTGCATGGGGGGAGCGAAGGCTGATTGTGGGGAAGGGAAGCTGCTGCTAGCAAAGTGGGAGACTGCAGAGGCAGTCACTGTGGGTATTGTCACTAATCCCTGTCCAAGACAGATTATTGCACTCGGTGTGATAACACAAAAAAGCCAACACTGCTGGCAGGGACGCCTCCTGTTGTTACCACAGTACAAATGGCATTCTCTAAGCTAGCCATCTGGGACACTTCCCCCCTGGACGCTAGGTACTGTACAGGCACCAAACTAAAAGCCAGCCCCAAAGGACTGACTCTCACATGTATACTTAGCTGGGGGGAGGGATAGCTCAGTGGTTCAAGCATTGGCCTGCTAAACCAGGGTTGTAAGTTCAGTCCTTGTGGAGGCCATTTTGGGATTTGGGGCAAAATTTGTCAGGGGTGGTACTTGGTCCTGCTGTGAAGGCAGGGGACTGGACTCAAGGTCCCTTCCAGTTCTAGGAGATAGGCAATCTCCATTAATTTTAGTATCTTGATTTGAACATGGCATGTGAATTTGTGTACGTCTGATCCTGAGCCTTTGCAGCCACGATCGAGCCTTTTAAGCCAAGAGCCTCCACACTTTGCTTCCCTGGGTGTCCGCTGCGATTTCAGTCGGATACAAGGTTCTTCCCGTGCTAAACTGCCGCACGATGTTCAAACAGCTGCAGCATTCCGCTCCTCCCGGCCAGCTACATTCTCACTGCTTCCTGTGTGCCCATAGCACCGTCGGGCTTACCGCAATTCTCCTGCTCCGGGGTGGGACAGGGCCTGGCGCTTTGAGCGGTGGGATCTTAGGGCTGGTGCCGTGACGTTGGAGCAGCCGTGATAAGTCATGTATGTGTCTGCTCCTTCCCTGTAACATGGGTGCTGGGAATCCAGGGGTGAGGGCTGATGCTACCTAGGAGTGTGGGTAGGAGCCATGGGGAGCCATGGAGCAGAAACAGCCCTTGGAGCATGAGTGAGCAACTCCATGTGTCTCTCCCCTGCTGCAGGATGTTCCGGACGTTATACAATTACTTTTGGTGGGATCGGCTCTGGTTGCCCGTGAACCTGACCTGGGCTGACCTGGAAGACCGCGATGGGCGGATCTATGCCAAGGCCTCGGACCTCTACATCACCATCCCGTTAGCCTTCCTCTTCCTCATCGTCAGGCATCTCTTCGAATTGTGAGTACCCTTTGGGGAGGCCGGGCTGGTGCCGTCTTGGGCTGGAGCATCCAGCTGCTTCAGTGATCCCTGCAAGGAGCGCCCACTGGTGGACAGTGAGGGGATGTCCAGCCCCGAGAGGAAGCTTAGGCTTAATCCTAGGCAGTTGGGGCACTGGGTGCATGTGGAACGCTAGGCGCTCCTGCAGACTCAGGCCTTGTTCATGTGCCTGAGCGACCTGGAAAATCCCTGCAGCCCACTCCCTTCCCAGAGTCGGGAGTGGATAAGCCTAGGCTTATCGGGTAGTCCAGGTACTACTTGACTAGTTGCTTCTTGCCCCCTTGACTGCCCCCTCCAGCCCTGCCTACATTTAAGAGGCAGAGCCGCAGCGGGGTCCGTCCTGGGGCCGGGAGCTAACCCCGCTGCCCCTCTGCAGTTCCCCGTTATTGATGGAAATTCCATCGATTGCTTGATCAACCGCCTTTAATCAGCTGAAGATCCGTACCCAGGAGCCCCGATTCCCTGCCCTTGCTCTAATCACTAGACCCCACTCCCGCTCAGAGGCAGGGATAAAACCCAGGAGTCCTACCTCCCTCCTCTAACCCCCTGGATCCCATCCAGAGCTGGGAGCAAAGCCCAGGATCCGGAGTCCAGCCTGTGGGTCATGGATCCCTCCTAGGCTCTGGACATTGGCTCCAATCCTGATCAAGAGGGGCTGGGTGAATGAAGGAGGAGAATCTCGTCTCCTTTACATCCGCCCGCCCGCCTGCCCTCCCTCCCTCCCTCCCCAGTGCTAGAAAGGCCCATGTCCAGACTGAGGCTGTGACCTGCGCTGACCTCAGGGAGCGAGATGAACCGTGGCAGATGGCCTTTAGCGCCGGGCCTCTGCACTATGGCGCACGTGGAGTATATTTATATGCGCCCGTCCCAGGAGCTCGGCACAAGCGCTTCATTGTGCACGCTGGCCCCCGGTCCGGAGTTGCTCAGCAATGCTGGGGGCTGAGGCAGCCGCAGCTGTACTGAGGCATTAAAGAGCAATTTGTTGTATGAACCACCCTCCTGGGGGCGAGCGGAGACCGGCGAACAGAGCTGGCTTTGTTGGGGGGTCGGGCCCATGCATGGGGGGTGGGCGGAGCTGTCGGGAGCTGCCTGCCCCGGGCGCTCTGTGCCAGCGGGCGTCTTGCTGCGATTGCCGCTGAGTGGGAGGAGCAGCGTGGCACTAGGTTGTGCAGGGATGTCTCCTCGCACGCGGTCAGCAAACCTCCTGGGCCGCGCGCTGGACACGTGTGGAGCAATAGGAGGATGGACATGCCCAGAACCTCTCTCCCCCTCTTTCCTGTCGCCCGGCCTTTTCCCACCCCTCTCTGTTAAAGACGTGTCACTCTGTGCGCATCTGTCGTCTTTTCCCCCTCCGCCTGTCTTCTCTTCCCTCCCTTGATTTTTCTCTCGCCCCCCAGCCACCATTTCAGACCCCTTCTTCTGATTTTTAACCCTTTCCTTCCCCCTACGCCTCATTCTGACAAGTTGTCTGATCAACAATTGTTGACTTCAGCCCTTGGCTCCTCTGGCTGGAAGGACTCCTGGGTTCTGCCCCCAGCTGTGGGAGAGGAGTGGGCTTAGCGATGGGGAGGCTGGGAGCCAGGAATCCCGGATTCTGTTCTCACCAGCGTATGACAAGGGAACGCGTCCCTCCCCTGCTCTGTACCTCAGTTTCCTCATCTGTAAAATGGGAAGGGTGTTGCAGTCTCTCCAGGGCCATCTGCAGGGCATAGGTGCACCCCTTTGGCCCAGGGAGGGTTGTGCTTTTGACTGCCGCCTAGTGGCCGCTGCCTCGCAGATTTCTTATCTGTCACTATTGACGGGTGGCGCTAGCGCTGGGGTCTAAGGTCTGTCGGGATATAGGAGGAAACTGGTCTGTGCTATGCTGGGTCCTAAGGCTGACCAGTAACTGTGTGTCTGCCAGAAGCTGCCCAGATGTAGGGTGATGCTGTTCCTGCCCTGACACGTTACAGCCTAACAATGAGGTGTTTTATGGGAGCCCCTCGGAGTCCAGTGGCGTCAGATTCTGCAGACGCAGCCCCTGCCCCAGACAGCTCATGTTTTCATAAACTCCTCCTACCCTTCTGTGGCACGTTCCATCAGCGCTTTCCACTGGACGGCAGCATCACTGTCCCCCTTGCAGAGAGGGGAAACAGACATGCAGGTGCTGTGACGTGGCCACGGTCATCTAGCAGAGCAGCGGCTGAACCAGGTCTCCTGAGGCTAGACCCAGTGCTCTACTCACTAGGCCACACTGCCTCGCCAGCGCTGGGGTGCTTTCCTTTTTTCAGACTGTCCCCCCCTTGTCATAAAGAGGCCGAATAGCCCCAAAGGGAAGGGCCCCATGTTCTAAGGCGGGTCGGCGGCCCCCAGCCCCTGTGCCGCAAGCAGCACGTGAGCCTGTTTTTATTGGCACGCGGGGCGGGAGCTCAGCCTTCCCCTTCCCCCTCCTCTCCACGCAGTGCGGAACTGGGGCTGTGGCTCCAGCCTCAGCCACACAGCTGCAGGCGGGCGCACCAGCTTTGGTGTCCCTTGCTCTGTTTTGGGACATATTTTACTTTATTTAAAATGACGTTTGATAAACTCACATGAGCAAGTTAAAACACAAAATCCGTTTAATAGTTTAAATTAAACCGTTCTCCCCAGCTGCAGCCCTTGAAAAACGGCTCAGGCGTAATTGTCATTAACGGTGAGTTTTCTTAGCAACTGATGGGCTGTGGAAAGGTTTGCATTGAGCCAGGCGGTCCACGGGGCACGTGGTGGAGAAATCCACCCCCACCCCCAGGAGAGCGGCACGGCTCAGGGCAGGAGGGTTAAATCTTGGCACGCCACTTCGGAAAGGTGGCCAGCCCCTGTCCTAAGGCATTATTCTGACCACCTGTTCTCTACCTGTGCACCCTGCTCCCCCCCAGGTATGTGGCTACCCCACTAGCTGGACTTTTGAATGTCAAGGAGAAGATCCGATTAAAAGCCACCCCGAATCCCGTGCTAGAAAAGTTCTACGCTTCGTCCACGAAACACCCCAAGCAGGTACAGCGTGCGCCACCAGCAGGGGGTGGGTCTTTCCTGGGATTGCGCTGCAAGTGAGGCGCCCTGCGCTGCCCTCTCCCATGGGAACAGGTCTGTGCGGGGCTAGCCAGGCCTGGGGTGGTGTGAAATCAGGCTGTGTGTGTGGAAGAAACCGAGAGGCAAGCGGGGGAGCTGCCCTTCGCGCTTGGGGGCCTTTGCGTGAGGTTTTAGTGATGCAGGGCCCAATGCGCAGGTCTTCCCCCTGGCGGGCGGGGTCCATTCATTACAGGTGCTTTGCCTCATCCCCAGCAGGGCGGGTTCCCGGAGCTGGCCTGAGAGGGAGGAGCACCAAGGCGGGACTGAGGGGCATTGGCACAGCTGCTGGGGCAGAGGGGGAGCCCAGGGCTGCATTTGCAGAGCTGGTGGGGGG